ATTCTATGATTCTATGATTCTATCTCTTCATGTCTAGCAATCTTTTGATTTGGTGACATTGCTTTTTTTACAAACTAAAAATTGTGTGTGGTCGGAACCACTGCCTGACAATAACAAGGAAATAGACACTAGTGAAAAAGGCTTTCTTCTCTGCTACTGCACTTGAGAGTCATGTGGGGAGTTCAAGGTAAATAAGTAATTGTGTTCTGGATGAAGGGTTGGTTTACAAAAAAAAATGTTAGTCCCAACTGAAATTCATGGAGTACATTAGGTTCCTGAAGGAGAGTAAAAATAACCCATATATTCTAGAATGTAAACAGTATGGGTTGGGGGTTTTGTTTTCGGGTTGTTTTTTTTTTTGTAAAAGCAGTGCTGTGAATCACATGCTTTTTCTACAGTTGCAGTCTTAAACAAACAAAGCCCCATTTTTCATACAGATATATCTTAATTTTAGAAATGAAAACAAGTAGATAACTGTCGAGGATTTATGATTGGCTACCTGTTCAATTACAGAGGTACAGCTGGCTCGCCTCCAGGAGTTGGGATTCAGTATGGAAGACTGTCGTAAAGCTCTTTTGATCTGCCAAGGTAACCTCAAACATTCTTAGTTGGCCTTGCGGATTGTTCATATTACCTAACTTGCAATTCAGTAAAAACTTTCAGACTGTAAGGTAGCTGATGCACAGGCAGTATTTCCTTCTCTTCTTTACTTTGGCTGTGTGTTGGCATATCATCTTAAGCATTCTAATTTTTCTGTTCTACTACTATGTAGAACCCACCCCCCAAAGATTCTTCTTGCCTTTTAGGATGTCATGTCTGGGGTGTTTGAGTGTATTTTGGGGACGGGGGTTTGAGTTGTGGGGTTTTTTTAATTTTATGGCATACCTATTTTTTGCTATTATCCATCTCTTTCTCTTTAGAGCACGTGTTTTCATCTCTCCCTTTTGAATCATGTATTTTACCTACTTCTACGTGCAATACATGAAAAGAAGATGAAGCTTTAACACAAGTGATTCTTTTTCTTTAGCACTGTCACGTTTCCCACCTTATTTATAGGCATTCATAGTATTAATATAGATTTATTTTAAGTTGCCACTCGGTTTGCAAACTTCAAAACACATTTCTTGTTCTTAGAAAATACTAATGTATTTATAATCTTCTCATATTTATGTTATTAAATAGAACATATTCAAGGTACTGTTGGTGTCTTGCTGTACTTCGTAAGAGAGAGGGAATTAGTTTGCTTCTGCGTGTTTTTTAAATAAGTGCATTTCATTGAAAAGGTAGATGATGATTGATTGGTTGATTGGTTTTATCTAAGGTGACTTGAAAAAAGCAGCGAGCTGGTTATTTAAGAATGCTGAACCTTTGAAATCAGTTTCCCTGACCTCTTCTGGTCGAGATAGCCAGGGGATTGTGCCTTTTCAGTTCATCTCTGGAGTGGAAATAAAAGCAGAGAGTATATGCTTTTGCTTTATTGATGACTGCATGGACTGTGACGTTCCCCTTGCTGAGTTAACCTTTTCACGTGAGTATCGTGTTTTGCTGAGTGATTTGCATAAAATTACTGTCAGTTACTGTGTACGTTCAGCACCATGCTCCAGTTTCTTAGGACTTGTGAAATTTCAACTGACAGTGTTTTGGTGGTGGTGGTTGTTTTGTGGGGTTTGGGTTTTTTGTTGTTGTTGTTTTAGCTTTTGTTTGTTTGTTTGAAGTTCTGTTTTTAGGAAGATTACAGTCTTTGTAGGATTGAGATTCTCTTTTCCCCTTTATACATCACATGACAAATGGAATCTGTCCTGAGCAGAACCCTAGGGAGTCTTTGTGTTGTAAAGCATGGTTGCCTATAAATGTTACTTGAAGAGTATTATGATACGCTTTTTGTACCATTTCAATTTAAAAGACAAGACAAAACTTTCCATTGCTTACTCAAGAGTTCAAAAAATCAGGAAAGTTGGTTGTTTTGCATTAGTATAACATTCACCTTTTTTTTTTTTTTCAGGTTTGAATTTTCTCCAACATTTGAGAGCCAACCCTGAAGGCTATGCTCATTTTACCCTCTCTGGAGATTATTACAATCGTGAGCTTTCAGGTGAAATACTGGGGGGGTTGTGGTTTTCTTTATTTAAGTTTAGGAAAATAGCCTTGCCTATTACAGTAGCCTGAAATTCACCCAACATGAAATGCATGTAAGGGAATGTGATAGGCTGACTTTTGTGATCACGCCTGTGTATGTGAGAATATGTGATCCTAGGCAAGATATCCTAACTTGATATTGGATGGAGGGATGTGGAAGATAGAGAGATTGCTGATATGGAAGTTTTCAAATGTAATTGCATAAAAAGTTACATAACTTGCTGTCTCTGTATTCGCTTCTCTTTTTTAGTATTTAATTGTTTTCATGCATTCAATTTGTTACTTATTTCAGGGAGGAAAAGCACATGAGGGTAGGCGGTTAGGCTGAAGACAATGGATTAACATAAGAAGACCATCATAATTTATGTTTTAGGTACAAAAAAGCAAGTTATTCCTCAATACAGGTCAGCCACTGACAAAAGAAATAATCTAGTTGTGTGTTTTCTCTGAATTGAGAAACTAGATTTTCTGTTACAAAATTGGTGGCCACAATCTCAGGAATTATCTGTCAATAACAAGGTAGTTTTTTTGTTTTTAAAAATATGTAGGGTATTTTTTTTTTTTAAATAGCTTTTAGACCTTTGTCTTTTATTATACTGAATAGTTAGGCCAACTTACAGTGTGAAATTCATTTTCAAAACTATTTCAGAGAACTTAGTTCCAGCTAACTTCAATATGAAACTGTAATTGCCTTCTAATGCTCTCCTCGGAATTAAGATATTTCTTCAAGACCCTACATATAGTATACACTGGTTCAAATGGAGGAGCTGGAGCAATTTTGTATTAGCTAGTAAATTAAATCTGTAGGCTTACAAGTTCATCTTGAATGCAGATTGAAAGTAAAGGATCTCATTATTAAAGTTGTATTATTAAATACGTAGGTATGTAAACAGCATTCCAGTGTGGCCTTCAAATGTGTAATACATGTGACTTTTTCTGTTTGTTCTCAGGCTGGGAGCCATTTATTGAGCCATGGCCGTGTTCAGTTTCTTGGCAACAGCAAGCTTCGAGCCGCCTCCACCCTTCCCGACTGAAGCTGGAAGTAAAGGCTAAACACCGTTTGGATCTAAACATTACCTCTGTCTTCATAGGTATGTAGGAGTATTCCCCGAGAGCATCACTATACAGTCTAATTTTCACTGTACTGAAAATGACAGACATTTCTAATTGAGTCCTGCTGGTGTCCCATAGACGGGGAGAGGGAGATTTGGCACAAGTCCCTAGATACTTCACATGATATTGTACACAGGTGTGCATTTAGGCAGCCTGTATTTTATCAGATACTGTGAAAGTGTAAAGACATGAGCTACATATTTTAGAGGTTAGTAGGAATTCTTTTCTGGTCATATGAATTCTATCAAATTCATATGTTATTTGAAATTTATTTTTAATCAGAAACAGGCTTTCATCTAAAGCTTTCCATACTTTACAGTACTTAAGAATATTTTGATAAGCTCGTCATTTTTCAGTACATTGACAGGCATAGTGGGGAACTACTCATTTCAGTTCTGCAGGCTCTGAAAACCTGAGCTGTCAATTGCCACCTCAGGAAGTCAAAATATTTTGTTCATCATTAACTCAGACTTCATGTAAACTTCTGTGTTGTGAGACTATGATTGTGTGCATTTCCCAGAAATATTGTTGCTTATTCTATATGCAAATCTGAATAATTTGGTGATCATAATAAAAAAATGTAAACAGCTGAGCTTGCAAATGTAACAGAAGAGCCTTCCTTGTTCCTTGAATATTCATTCCTTTCTCCCTGTGGGGCTGGCAGAAAGAGGGAGCCAAGGTGGGAGGAAAAGATGCAAATCAGTGATTCCTAAGAGTTCCCATGATGCTTTTTAATGCTAGATAACAAGTAGTAAGGCTGGTTTATGATTAATGCTGTGCCAGAGGACTCCATTGGTGTCTTGATATTTATGCAGGAATGTGCATGTACCGCTTAAAAAGAAAAAAAAAATTAGAAACTGCTTCTAACATAAAAACATTTAAGGTTAATTGCCTCCTCAGGGAGAACTCTTGCATTGCCACAGGAGTATCTTAAGAACATGGAATTCCACTGAAAGTTTTTGGAAAAAAAAGAAAAAACTTAAGAATATAAAAACATTTGTTTTTGAAGGCACTGCTGTGATTTCATGAGCTGCTGTTTGTCTTGAACTTATGAAGAGGCTCACAGAAAAAGCAATAAAGTAAAACTTTTGCCATTAAAGTGGAATAACTTTAGTGTTATGAATTTGACATACTTTTCAATTACTTTGTTTACTGCCACCTTGGAGACATGTACTGTCTATGCTTATATTCCTCTAGAACAATACACATGTACCAAACAGTCGTGGATGGAAGATTACTGTAAACAGGACAAAGAAGTGAATGTAATCAGTTCAGAAGACTGGATGGGTTCTTCGGTGGATCCACCATGTTTTGGGCAGAGTATGATACTCATTAATCACACTTTATCTGAAATAGTCCTGACGTACACAATAATCTGTCTAATGTATTACAAACATAAGTATTTGGTCTTCATAGCATACAGTGAATTGTTAGAGATATTTGGCAAAAAATACAAAAATGCTATTTTCTGTTCAGTTATGTTCAATTCTTTAAAAACAAAAACCTTTCTGGCTACATGGCTTTGAGTGAGAACTTTGCACTGCTAGTTCTGCTTCCTTTTTTTTGTCACGCTTTCTCAGTTAATGAGTGACTATCCTGTCAAAGATTAAATAAGAGTATTGAATTTAGGGTGTGTGCAGTTCAGAGGTGATCTTTTTCTTTCTGTACCCCCAAAAACCTAAATGACTGAGTTTCTGGAAAAAATGCTGTTATATTTGTGAAGCAATTCTCTAAGTAATAGCTCTTGATACGTGGCAGGTCTTTTCAGCTGATTTTCTCCCAGTGTTACTTCTGGAAGAAATTTTAGCAATTCAAATGCCAACGTAGCGTAAGCAAATGGGTAGAGACTCATACACTGATCGCATGATGCCAACTGTCTGTATCTTTCCTGATGCATGATGGGGAAGAGTGTACCTGTATTTGTGTGTGTTTTCTTACCTGCTAATTTTGTCTTTCCTGTCTGCCAGGCCTTCCTCTTGTCTACCTTAGAACTAGGAGTACAGCCAGTTTGACTAACCTAGAGCATCAAATCTATGCTAGAGGTACTGTATAGCAGAGAGAGACAAAAAGGTTTTCTTCTTCGTTGGAAGGCTCGTGTACAATAAATACTGTGTTGTATGTGTGACTCGCTAGTAGATTGGCCTTTATATTTAAAACAAACAAAAAACCAACCCAAAACCAAACAACATAACAGCTACTTTGCTTTTAAGCTGCTTAATTTAGTATTTCATCCCATCTTTCTCTTACGTTTGTCTGGGCCCTTCAGGAAAGGAGGGAGAAGTGTAATTAATCCTATGTAGGAAGACTGTAATTTGAGGAAGATTATATGAATTGTTGACTATTCAATGTCCCTTTTCTGGCAAGGCAGTATATGGTGATTAAAATAGCATAATAAAATCACAAGATTTTTTATTTTATATTCTAAAAATATCCAACTGTATGTTTGATATACACACTTATGCTTGATTCAGCATGTATATTTAGCAACTTAAAACTTTAAGATGGCTTCAGAAGGAATACTCTGTTTTCAATAAGCCTTAGGAAGTAAGGCATTTCTAATAAATATCCTGTTAGTTTGTTTTATGTTTGACAGTACAGTCTTTGGGCAAAACCATCCAGTTTAAAGTAAAATTTCTTGATTTTTATTTTTTAAGAGTTGTGATGTTATGGAAGACAAAACAGCACACTTGATAAATATGGCGCCCGTGTAGAAAAGTTGCTGAATGGGAGGAGAGAACGCTTTCTATAAATCTACATCTGTGGCCCATTCAGACTGCCCCTTAGAAGCATTTTCTCTGAGTGCTTGTAGATAGTTCATAGGTGTTTAAAAAAAACCCAAAAATGGAAAACGATAGAACGATTTATTTTTCTGAGGTATTTTTCAGGAAGTTCTTTTTGTGAAAAAAACAAATCCTTTTAATAGTTATTGCTTGGCTTTCAGTGGGTGTTGCAACTAAACGACTAAATGAATTATGAAGAAAAACTCCTTGTAATGGTAGTCTTTATTTTCAGGCAATAGTCTCAAAATGCAACTTCTACATTATTTTTCTTTTGGAAGTCAGGCCATAGTCCCAAAAATTATTTTCTTAAAGTCTCAAAAAATAAATTGGCAATCGATTAAATGCCAGAGTAAAAGCTCATTTGGCTTCTGGTCTGTAATTTTGTAGAACCTGGGCTAGCCAAAAAAATTGTATAAAGTCAAGCTCAACACTAAAAAGATTGTTTTATTTGCAGTTGGCAAAAATCAGAGTTTTCATCTTCAAGAATTTCATCTTCTTGCCATTTAATTGGAAAGAACTTTCTCTGTAAGCTTTAGAGAGATCAGATTTAAGTCTCCAGTGACAATATAAGGTACATAGGAGTTTGATGTCATTGATTTGGAAGAAAGTTGCATGCAATCATCAATAACTCCTTCAAAAACTTACCTACCCACCCTGCATTATCCCTTCTTGCCTCTGTAAACCTGTGCTTAAGTTATTCTTAGTTAGACACATGTTGTAGTGGGATGACTGGGTTTCAGAACATGAAGTACTTCAACTTGGTATCAGTCAGCCTTTGGAGTGACTGCAGATAAATTTTGTGGAATAAATTTCATTTCTGTCTTACCTTTTCTTTAAACAGCTGATTTATTGTGTGTGCCTTCTTTCTGCTTCTCTCCTATAAAAAAATGTATGTATTTAGGGAGCAGCCATTTATCTTCCTTTTTAAGTAGTTACTGGAATTTGACAGGGTATTTTTCTGTCCAAACACAGTAAGTATTTTCACAGATATGATGTATTGCGGTATGGAAGACCAGAGTAACACTTGGGTGCTTGTTAGTAATGCATACTTGAAAAAAGTCAAACATGGTAGGTGAAGTTTCTTTTTCTGGGGTTTTGCTGTCCCAGCATTTTAAGAAAACCAGATTACCTTTAGCTGCATTCAAATTATTTTTCATACTTTTTTTACTAGGCTTTATACTGTATAGGAAAATATTTCTACTTGTTCAGTCTTTGAGAATGAAAGTCCCATTTAAAGAGGGTACCGGATAATCCTGTATTCGTCATGTTAAATAGAGCATAAATCTTAATTATAAGTGAATATGTGTTCAATACTTTATGAGCATTTGGAGGTACATGAAAAGTTACTGATTATGATTGAGTTTTTAGTTAGGTTTTCTACATGTTAGTTATAACTGGAGGCATAGTATTTTGTAAGACTTGATACGAAGAAACAAAAGAACATGTCGATGAAGCTCAGTTCCTGGGGGTTGATTTTCTGTTTGCTTTGTACCATTTCTATACTAGTTACTAATTTTTAAAATGTTTTTAGTAATCTGTTACCCTGTTTTTTCGATCTGTTTTTCTTTAGTTAGTGCAGGTTGTGGTTCTCCAGCCATTGTGTCTCATCCTACATTAGCATCTGATGAATGCTTCTCTCATAAGCATTTAGACAAATCTTTATTCTCTTTTATAGCTGAAATGAAGACTCCAAAACGTAGGCAGCCGTTTGTCCCATTTGCTCTAAGAAATCATACTGGATGCACTCTGTGGTTTGCTACCCTAACTACAACACCCACGCGGTAAGAAGCTGTTGTGGGATCACTTTGACAATATTTGTCTGGCTTCTCTAATGTGTCAGCCAAACCTATTGTTTTCAGTGCTTTTATTTTCTTGCAAAGAAACATAGGCAACTCCCAGTCTTTCTTAGTTAAGAGCTTTTTCTTTGACATTGACATAGTTTTACTACTAAAAAAAAGATTTCCCGCCCCCCTCTCCCCCCCGCCCCAGATGCCCGAGAGAATTTGAAAACCGGTCAGATACATTCATGATGTATATGTGTTTACTGCAGGACTTCTATAGACTGAAGCAGACTAAAAAGCGCTTGTTACTTGAAGTAGTCATTTGTCAGTTTGTAAAATGATGTGATTCTCTTCACAGGGCTGCACTGTCTCACAGTGGGAGTCCAGGTGTTGTTCCTGAGGAAAACGGGACATTGCTGGATGATGCCCATAATGTCAGTGAATGGCAAGAAGTTATCACTGGGGAAGAGATTCCATTTGAATTTGAAGCCAGAGGGAAACTCAGACACAGGTGAAGGGACCAAGCTGCGCGCTGTGTTTTGACACTCATATATGGAACACATAGGATCGTAGTTGTGAGGACACTAGCAGATATTAAATAAAAAATGGAATTTTTTTAAAATCTCCTGTTAATGTTTTGTTTTTAAATATTTAAAACTCATGTATAGAGTGAAATTATCAGTTGTCTAGTAAGCAGCATATATTGCTGTTGGTGGCAGCTGTTCCTAGATGTGAGTTGGATCATTATGAGCTTTTAAAAAGAATTAGGGGCCTCAATTACAAATCATATGTCCTTTATTCTAAAGGACTGGGGCAGGGGGGATGTTGGTTGTTGAGCATAAGCATTATCAGTGTTAAGAACTAGAAGAACTTCTTAACAAATACGTAGCAACCTTTTATTTTTGCTTATATGACATAGTTGTACTTCTGTATGTTCATTAGGGAAGGTGGAACAATTGAACAGACATAAAATCAGGTCTGTCTTCACCCATGAAATGGAAAAACTCTTGAGCCTTTTTTTTTTTTTTTAAAACACTTCAGTGAGATTCTGTATTAAGAATCCAGAGGGTGTTCTTGGTGAACTGTTTGGCGTTTACACTCTATAATAATGTTTAATAGTAATTTAACTTGATCTAACCCGGTAGGCACACACATGATCTAAGAATTCATCAGTTGCAAGTGAGAGTAAATGGCTGGGAAGAAGTCAGTCCGGTATCTGTAGACAAAGTTGGAACGTTTTTCCGATATGCTGCACCAGATAAGAACTCATCCTCTTCTACTGTAAGTTCTGATTTGGAGTGTTAGTTTTAATAGAATATGTAAGTACAGAGTAATGATGTCTCCCAGATTTTGATCTTAAAGCAGCAGCTGTTGTCTGATTGTGTTCTTTCCAGTTAGCTTGGATTGGGAGAGTTTGGAGATGCTGCGTTCCTAACTGGCAGTTTTATGCATAATAAAAACATAAACAGAGCAGTCAGCAGTTAGTCTGTGCTTAGCAGTCAGACCTTCCAATGACAGAACTAATGTATTAGTGACAGCGTCATGGAGATTGAACTTTAAATCAGCACAGCATTT